AGCACACACACTGCTGTGGGGGAAAACCAATGCATATGAATGAGAAGATCCTTCAGTTTGGATCATTAAGGCCGGACATAGGCCACAAAAAGGGGAACAGTGACTCTGAATGATCTCTTCATTACCCTGACCTTTGTGATGCTTGAGTGTTTGCTCTCCATATTCCTCACAACAGCCGAAAGACAAAGATGATGACAGTGGATGTAGTGAAACCAATCACATCTGGTTTTCCTTCTTTTGAGAAAAAAGGAGTCAAAGGTAATTTACAGGAGGAGTTTTTGTTGTTCTGTTGTGCCTTACTAGTTTTGACTTAATTCCTGAGTCTTCCTTGTGTCCACTTCAGAGGCAAACAAGCTAAGCATGGAAAGAGAAAGAGCAAAAGGATCTACGCAGGATTTTTTCCCTCCGATCCCTGGAGAGAAGTGTTGCATTTACCTTTTCAGAGGAAAGCAGACACCTTGCAGCTGCTCCTGGGACTAGAGGAGTTAAGGTCAGATATAGCAAGAAAACTTTGACTCAGGCAAACACTACCCTTTCCCAAAGGAGAAATGTCTCTAGTAAGATGCACCGTACTACTGCAGACTTCTCTGTCCCCAGAATTCTGAGATGTATTGAGATCAAAAGGTAGGCAGAAGAGGCTGAGTCCTCTGAAGAGTGTCTGGCAAGACAGGCTCTCTCCAAGGGAAGAGATGATCCCTGGAAAACACTGACCATCAACATATTGGATTAAAACTAGTGCAAATCAGTGACTTATTTAACTCTATTTTAAGCCTAAGAAACAACAGGCAAACAAGAGATAAAGAAGCAACAGAGAACACAGAAGCTGAGTAGCATGGTCGAGTGGAGAAAAAGGGCCAGGAATTGCAATAGCTGAGTCCTGTGCCAGACTGTTTAAGCTTTACCTTCTTAAATGCTCTGAGCCATATTGCCAGCTGCGATGCCAACATAGCTTTTAATTCTGAGTAAATAATTTTGCCTTCCTCTGCATTCAGCTTTGCTATCAACTAAATAAACCTGACACTGCTGCCCTGCTGGGGATTACATGGCGCATAAGCTTGGGCAGGTCTTCTGCACCCCAGTTAATCATACCCCCTTCTGTGACTTTCACACCATGCCATGAGAATGTGGCATCTGTTGTATTCGGGTGCTGGAGCCTGATCTGTATCAGTACTCAGAGGAGAGTGGACTCTTCTCTTTCCTTGCATGTAATAGAAGGAATTCACCTCTTTCTGAATATGTGAAATTCGCTTTTAGACATTAATGGTTGTGTTGTCTAGAGCATGCAGTTCTTTGACTGCCTGTCCCTTACGCTCCAAGCTGCAAATGCTGCTTTCATTCATGTATTTTTTCTGTGCTTTTGAATGGAGTAATTTTTTTTCTTGCAGGACTCCTGAGCTGCCCTACATTCTCCTAAGTTGACAGTCACTCTCACAGACATCAGCAAATATACATCTACAGACTTGGCAGAAGAAACAAGGTTATCCCCAACGTATCTCAGAAAAAGTGTTTTTTCTCCCTAGCAAATGTATAAAGCACGTTTCATGTCAAAAATAGACACACAGTTATGACTAACGAATTGTAAATTTACCATTTCCCTTTGTTCAAAATGGTTTCCAGGGAAAGAACACATCAAAGATAACAGTGCAGGTCCACTTCTAAAACCTGCCAACTCACCAAACAACAGACATACAGTTTCTAAGACCACCTGTGTGCAAGCTGCATGCTTCCTCCACTGCAGAGACAGCAGGGAAGTGACAGGAACCAAGGTCCTGTTTAGTGATCTCTTCAGTCTCAAACCCGTTTGCAACTGCAAATTCACAAGTTAAGGATAAGATTTTCCAAAGTAAACTAACTGTAGGGGAAACATCCAGAATTGTTAGCTACTTTTGAAAGCCTTGCAAGTAAATGCGACACTCTACTGTACATGACTGCTAGGTAGTTGACTTTTCAGAATAATTTGACCAAATCATCTTTATCTTGATCCTTCAGAGAGGCAGACATGTTCTTTACCTGGGGACAGCTCTTGCTCTCAAGTGCAATCTTAGTTTTTGTTTTTACATAACCCTGTGTATCTGCTGATCTCAGAGTACCTACAAAAGGACAGCGTGTCATTAGTCTGTTACCATGACAGAAACATAAACAGGATAACACTGCTTAAGTGTGATGGCCAACAACCAGCGAACAAATGAGGCATTGAGGTAAGCTCTGCCCTGTTCACAAAGTGTGAAAAAGCTTATGAAACAGAAGACATCACAGTTGGTTCTACATAAAATCATCGCAAGTTTGTTATATGCTAATGTACCTGGAGAGAGGAATTCAGTCCTCTGGGAAACAATTACGTTGTAGGTATTAACGCTGTAGTCTCTGGTACAAAGAGGCCTGGACAGTGAGCTAGAGAGAGTGGACGAAGTGTGCTAGGAATTTTCTTCTAATAGAGAAGAGTGTCCAGTAAAAAGAGAAGTCTAGTGAGACACATAGCTTAGCTTAGTTCCTATTGTCAGCTCAGTTTCAAACTTACTGATTACAGAGGCAGAAGCCGCACTCATCTCAAGTGCTTCTGCATGGCCAGACTTCCTTTCTGCCAATCCTAAGCACTTCTTAAGACTACCTCTGCCGTCAGAAGAGTTCAGAAGAGCTGATATAAGGTCCTTCAGACCTCAAATTCTATTTAAAAAAACAAGAGAGAGAGAGAGAGAGAGGAAGAGAAAAAGAGACAGAGAGAAATATGTTAATTATGGTAAGACCAAAGAGTAAGTAGGAGGATTAGCTCCAAATCTGTTAGACAAAATAATGCTTCAAGAGGCATTTGAATATTTTGATCCTGACCAAGTGGCATGCTCTTGCCTGGTGTGAGATGGCAGCAGTGCAGTTCTCATAACCAGACTGTGCAACTAGGCTATTTGCTTTGTACTAGTAAATTGATGCAAAGCAGCCTCATTTTATCAGTGACCACTCTCTCAGGACATTCCACATAATGTAGAATAGAAGTGGACAGCAGGCTAGATTTCCTTCATCAGTATAAATCATTCACTTCTACTCAAGTCAGTTAAGCACTGCCAACTAATACCTGCTGAGGATCTGCGCAAGGACCTCAAAGTCAGTATCTTAGAACCCTTTATACCTTTTTTGCCATACAGCAGTTCTTCTCTAGAAAGTCTCCTTGTACAGGAGGCAACTTACACATTGAACTTCGCTCCTATATGCACACTCCTACCAATCATCAACAAATATTCTTTAGCAGATGCACAGGAAGCTGATGACTGAATAAGTAATTTTATTCACTGAGTCAGTTTTGACACTGAAGGGCACTGAACAGCTGAAAACATCATTTATAGGGAGTTCCACTTACAACGTTATTCAGAACATCAGTGGTGCTTTTGTTATTTCTAAGGATTGCTTAGATGGAATAGTGTTACCCCTTCAAAAGAATCAGTAGCAATGGGGAGAATATAGCTAGCAAGGTTTACATAAAACTAACAGTCATGTTATGCTCAAAAGCTTAAGTTTATTGCTCTATTTAATGACTACCACCAGTATTTTTAAAAAGAATGCCAGTTCTTCCTGCTAGCTTCTCACTGAAGGAAATATTTTAAATACAGCAATAAATTCAAGTGGTTTAAAGATAACACATTTTGCCACATAGTCATGCAAACCCTGCTGACAGGATTTTACAGGTTCATGGATACACAATAAACACAAAGGATGTGTACTGAAATATCGGGAAACTTTCCCCACAGTGATGAAGTTGTAGGCATAACATTTCAGGCCCTACACCCGGCACCTACTAACGTCAATGGCAAAACCTCAGTGGGAGCAGGATCAGCCCTATTGTTCTGAGAGCTGCTTTACCTTCTCCTGATTAGGAAGTGCAGTAAATTCTCAGAATCTCCTGCACTAATAAAAGCAGTGGGTTTTCGTTATTGTTACAAATAAAGAGAAGCAAAAATATTTTTAGTAAATCATTACAGCTTCTATTCACAAAACACTCATCTTTCATGTTAAGGGTCCTGTGTACCTCCATTTTTCTCTGCTCAATAAAGCACTTAAACATGTGCTTACCTCTAAGCATTAAACACAAACGACAGTCTTCACAGCCTGACCGAGATCTAAAAAGAAAAGCATGGGCAGCAGTCTGTATTATTGAAAAGGAAGCACTGCTGCCCAGACTAGTGATTAGAATGAGAGAATGATTGTCTAAATTTAGTTTGAGGGCAAATGTATCAAAAAGCAGCCAACACGTTCAGACTGATTTTTTTTAAAGCTGCCTACAGGATTTGCGTTAATTTTAACGAGCACTGGGCACCCGCTCATCCTCAAAGCTTTGAAACAAGTTTAAATTCATGGAATACAAGTGATTTTATTATTACATTTTTAATAAAGATGAATTCAACTCACAAAATCCCTCACCTGATTTCAAACCTCAGATTTCAGGAGAAATTGTATTCGGATTGTGGTCTGACTACGTAAAAAGAGAAACTACTTGCAAAAATCAAATCTGGTTGCAGACTGAGATGCCAAAATATTGGCAAAGAAAAGGTAAAGCATAAAGAATTTATGTTCAGATTAACTTCTACTATTCACGTCAGATTCACCCAGCTGTCATGATACTGGGGTACATTGCTGGTAAGAATTGGAGGTAAGAATTTAACTCACATCACTGAAATATTTTTTTCCCCTTAGTTCTGATAACACTGGTGGTGGACTGCTTTAGAAAAAATAAACAAGCAAACATGATGTGTGAAACATCATTTCAATGTGAATCTACTTGAATCTTTCAACGCAGAGGCTCAGAAGGTTTACGATATACACAGTATTCGGTAATTTTATAGGTAAAAACAATCAGAAAGAGGCAAAAAGTTACTTTCAAGCTTAGTCAACATACGGCACATTTCAGCATGACAATTCAAAAAGTTTCACACTGTATTTGGATATATTAGCAATGATTTTTTAAAAATAGCAAACTGAAGACAGGATTTTTTTCTGTTTTTTTTTTTCCTTGCTTTTGTAACAAATGAAGTTACTATTCTTATTTACAGTATAAATAAGCCTTTTTTGGTGAAGAGTATGTCCTGTCACATATGTTTAAAACAAGGCGTACCTCAGCTCTTAAATGTCAATGCAAACAAGAGCATAAAAGCAATATCAAAGTAAAACAGTATATCTTTCTTTCCAGCTAAGACAGCCAGGTTACCATGTGTCTCTTATCAGATCTGAAATATATCTGAATGCAGTCAAAAGTTCTCTTGGGTTTAGCCTTTAGGAATATCATGAACACTTATTCTTCTGCTGCTCTAGAAAGCTGTTTTCCGTACAAGCTCATGACATGATGGACAAATTGATACTGTTCACAAGTCTGGATCATTCCTCCCCTGAAAAGGAAAGAAAAAAAGGGGAGGGAAACAGCAGCCTTATTACATGCAAATAACAGATGAGGAAATGGCATAGCTAACATGAAACCAGTGTTACACGCAAAAGGTCTATTCCAAAGCTTCCTGAAATGAGTGAAAACTGCCCATTGATTGCAACCAGCTCACAGTCTGACCTCGACTTCCATTTTGAAAGTCTCTGCTAACCAAGGAACAGAAGATAGTCAGAACAGAAATGGGCTTTACCTTCAGTAAGGCAACACCATCATCATTTACATTGATATTACTGGAGCTCCTATACTCCGAGCACCATTTTAAACACCGTGAAAAGCAAGCCCCACCCCAAAGCTCCAGACGGATAGATGGGAGCAGGGGGAATAAAGAGGGGAAGTAGCTTATCCAAGACTTCACAGCTGCACTAGGCACTAAATTCAGGACTATAGAGGGCCAGGCCAGCCAGCCCAGCCAACTGATGTAGCACACAACTTTCCCATTCTGGAATGAGGGTTCTTTCTTCTGTGCCATCACATGCCATGCTTTTGGCAAGTTCACCAGAGAACTAGGGGATGGACAGCAGGATTTTGGAACAGACAATGGAACTTTAACAAAAGACAACTCAGATTTGTAACTGAATTGACTGTCATGCACACCTTGATCAGTAAAAGACTCCCAGCACAGAAATCTGTTTTGGTTCAGCTTTTATTTCAGCTTTTGCTGTTCTCTTTAAAACTGCAAACCTGAAAGGAAATGCAAGCAGGAGCAGAAACAGTTTGCTTTTCCATGTATCATTAGCCTGTGTATTTCTGCAAGTAGCATATTAATCAACACATGAGTACTACAGCGGGAGACAGAAATGAACAAAAAAAAGAAGGATAAAGTTGTCCATTTTAAGCAGATTTTACTAATACTTAAAATTCTGCTAAGAGTACCTTAACAACAGTGATATGACCTCTTGATAATCCATTATGAAAATAATTAAACCCCATGGCTCAAATTCTCAGAAAGTGTATGCAGAATTGTGCCAGCCACTGGTGCTCATGCACAGATCCCGGGAACACAGTGCCAAAAGGAGGCTGAAACGACAAGCGGCGTTGAGGAACATGGGAACCCTTAGGTGGCCAGCACCAACCAGACTGTGTCAGTCTGAGGAAGAGCATATGTGGTGCATTCCCTCAGAAACCTCCACCGGAGGAAATTAATGAAAAGTTGCTTCCTCTGAGCCAAACAGATAGCAGACTGCTAGCACCTTCCTCGGGGACTGCCCTCTTCCATGGGGTCCTAGCTGAACAATTGTGGGTCACACAGTAACCGCACCAGTAAGGGGTAGATAAGTGGGCAAGACAACCTCCTCCTTCAGCCTCTTACAGTTATTTTGTTAAGTGGATGTTTGAAATAACACTTAACAATGAGCAGGGAAGGGCAGGGACCCATGCTTCAACCTCTCATCCATAAGCAAAGGCGGGAAACACACACTGCTTTTCTAAAGAAACTACTTCCTAGCTGAGCATCTCCTCCCCATCTGCTCTACTTAACATAGTTAAGTAGATCTGTTGATCTGTTTCTGAGTCCTTCTGTGCTGCACACAGCATTGAAATATATTTATGTCAGTTCATGACACACAAGGAACATTAGTCATATCTAGCAATTACTCCCCGTGCAATTCCATTAACAGTGAGGTTGCACCCTGAAGTTGTAGCAACAGAAGCACTAGGGTGGCCATCAAGTTTCAGACTGCAGGAAATTATTTTCATTTTTATCTGGTTCCCTGCTGTGTGGTGGCTTCCTCCCCTTCCCACACATGCACACCATGACATGTGCTTGCTGTTCAGGCTTTGGCACAGAAAAGAGAAATTATGTTTTCACCCCTATTTACCACAGAAACCTTTCAAATCTGAGTTGCATTGTGGGAAAGGTCAGCAAATGTCTCTCAGCACTGTGGGAAGGATGCAGGAACGATCACTTCCTCTCCTTAGTCATATTAGATTATTTTAGGACCAACTGTTGGCCACTAGTGCAAAGCCCAGTGCACAGGATTTTTCCAAGGGATCTGTAAGGGAATGAAGGGAAAGAAACATTTGTCCCCTTCAACCCCACAGCAACCTCAAAGGCGGTTCTCGGGGCTCACGTCAACCCCTCTACTACCGTGAAGCAGTGAGGTGCATTCTTTCAGGTGTCTGCTCTGGCCTGCATCCAACGTTTTTTTCTCCTTCCTATCCACCCTATTTTCTCTAGCCAGTAACCACCAGACAGGAGGAGGAGACAGAGAGGGTCCTCCTTCCTATAGCTGCTTGGACACTGTCTCATCCTCTCACGCTGCTTTTGAAGTCGCACAGAGCTTTTGTGGGGGTTTAGTGACAATAATAGCGGATGGCAGCACGACTTCCAAGAGACTACGAGCTCCATTTTTCACTTCTTGAAGAAACCATACTCTTCTGTAGCAAGGATGGCGATTTGACTGCTTTCCATCTTGAGTATTTTCTCCCATGACATTTAAATGGTCTCTTCCTATCCCATCTCATCCGAGAGGTACATGGCTGCTACAGAGGTCCCTGCAGGTTTCCTTTTCCTCCATGGCATCCTTTAAGTGTGATCTCCCTTCTCCAGCCTCTGCAAATGCCTGCCAGCTCCCCTCTCCCTGCAAAGCTAGTATTTTTAATTGGTCTTCTGTATCAAGCACATTTGTAAGCAGGTGTCTTCAACCTTCATTTATATGGCTATTTTCCTGTGTAACATTAGTCACAGAGACAAGATATTTCAGCCAGATATTCCACTGGGCCATGGATAATCAGCACTCACTACTCATATTCTGGTTTTCTCTTCCTCAAGAAGCCTTTCCTTGTCTGGCCTGAAATCAATTGAAATAGCCAAATCTCCAAGCCCCTGCAGGTCCCTGTCTATCAGAGCCTCAGCAGGGCAGCAAGCATTTCATTTTCTGCCTCCCACTGAGCATAATTTCTCCTCTGAAATAAAGTTCAGCGTGGGGTTGAGGTTCTTTTTTTTCCTCAGAAAAATCTTTGGTATGTTTTTCGTGACATCTCTTCCCCCGACTACATTTGTCATTATCATTATAGAGAGCACTGAGACATGTTTTGATGGCACTTGAAACCAGTGGGAGAGGAAAAATAACATCTCTGGTGCAAAATTCAAGTCTGTTTACTTCATAATCAAACTCAAGGTGGTGTGTTAAGAAATGCTTAACTGGAAATCATTGAATTTCTGGAGATTTTCACAGCTCCTTTCATATGTCTGCAAACACTCCGGACTGTGCATACTCTCCCTCTCCCCACAAAGCAGCCATGCCCTCCCAACAGTGCTCACAGCTCCAACTATGCAAGGCCAGTTTTCTTTACTCCTCCTGGGAGCAAAGTGCTGATCTGTGGCTCTGAACTTAAGTACAGCAGACCTTTGAGCCTTTGCTTCTGTAAGAACATGGGGCCAACTCCTCAGCTGGTGAAAGGCCATCCCTTGCTGCACTGAACTGTGCAGCTGCACAGCGATGCAGATTTTGATGCCAGCTGTGAATCTAGCTCAGTTCTAGGGCTGTTCATTAAGCTTTACTGCTCATAAAATAGGCAAAGATTACGAGTCAGAACTGCTTAGAACAGAAGAACTTCCTTCCAGGAATGTTCTCTCTTGGCCTCCTTTTGCCTTTGTTCCTCCCCTGTTCCCATTTGTTTCTCCTTAAGTAAAGGGAAAGATAACCTTTTTTTTTTTTCCCTGGAAAGGAAACAGGCTTTCTTACCTGTCTAACCGTAACTGGCAGGCTGTTCGCAATATGTCAACTATGCCCTCGCTCTTCAGCTGTTTACAACAGACACTAGTTGCAATAAAGCAGCCAGTCCTCCCGATGCCTGCACTAAGGGAAGGAAAAAGCAGAGAGAGGCAATGGAGATGTTAGGATGGCTTTGGATCTTTCTCGTTAAATGAGTGCCATTAAACAAGCAAGCAAACCCCATTATCCCTTTCCTCCCTCCAACCTTTGCCAGGTGGGTGCTTGCGAATATAAAGCCGTAACTAGGAAATGATACTAACTTCAATGGGACAACACAATTAAGTGTGAGCCACTTGCAGCAAAAGGATAGACATTGCACATACAGTGCTAAAAATGGACTGTTGGGTACCATTTGACCCAATATGTCATTGAACCATTGAAAATAAGCAGGTAAACAGTATTTCTTAGATAGACTTGCTTTGAAGGCAACTTTTGCTTTGAGATTCTTAATCCTAATAGCTTCTTTGAAAGCTATTTTCATTCACAGGTACAGCAAAAAAAACCCCAACAAACCCCTTGCTTAAATAATTAGAGCTAGCAGCAATATGGTAAGTGTGATGCCATTTGCTGATCAGATCTGCAATCTAGTAATTCTCTGAATTAGTGCAGGATACAAATTCACTATTAAAGAAATTTCTGTCTTTCCTGAACACCTTTGTATCTGATTCAGTCCTTGCTTAATGACCAGAATTGATTTTATTCTCAAAGGCACAGTGCTATCAAAGCTACGAATTCTTCTTATCACCTAATAAAAAGCTAGCAGCAAAAGCTGACAGCCCATCTTACGCGTTAAATAACTAAGTGAGCATCCTCAGGAATAATTACTTGACACAACTGCAAGAAATCCTGCTTCCATTTAAATTGCTCTAAAGTCATAATACAAAAACAGTAGCAACAAATGTACAAGCAACAATGGAGTTTGCAGTTACCTACTGCTTGCAAAGTCCTAATACTGTTTCTTTGACTGTATAGACAGGTTTTTCACTGGGCATTTATGCTCGTTAGGGAAACAGGTACATAGGAATTGTTTTAACTTCTATTACAGAATGATCAAGGCAATTCAGTGGAAGTTTGGGAGATGATCTTGCTAAGAACTCATCTCAGTCTTCAAATAATTGTGATGGAGGTACCTACCTGACTTAAAATTTCTGTCCCTGAAACTCTTTGTACCTCGTGCCCTGACTTCTGTTTTCTTTACTATATCTAGTTTGTTCATCAATACTTCAAATATTTCAGGGTTTCAGAGGACTTTTTGCTGCATACGGATGTACACCAACAGTTTAAAAAAAAAAAAAAAAAAAAAAGCCCTTTGTCTTCCAATTTCTGCCATAACCAAATAGGCCACAGTACACTGCTCTTGTCTACTGTTTCCCATCCATAGACCTCAGAGTGTTTCACAAAGGGCATGAACAACACCCATTTTTAGATAAAGCAAACAGCACTGAAACAGCACTCGTCCCGGACAAGCTGCAGGTCTCTCAGTGGCTGAGACAAAGTCATAATCCTTCCAAGACTGCCCAAGAGTGGTGCATTATCCACAGGACTTTAACAGGACTGCTAGCCTGCCTTTAACATGAAGCTGCTTTTAAGAATAAGGCCACAAAAATGATCAGAGGGATGGAACACCTCTCCTGTGAGGACAGGCTGAGAGAGCTGGAGTTGTTTAGCCTGGAGAAGAGAAGGCTCTGGGGAGACCTTACCGCAGCCTTTCAATACTTAAAGGGGGCTTGTAAGAAAGATGGGGACAGACTTTTTAGTAGGGCCTGTAGCAATAGGACAGGGGGTAATGGTTTTAAACTAAAAGAGGGTAAATTCAGACTAGATATAAGGAGGAAATGTTTTACGATGAGGGTTGCCCAGAGAGGTGGTAGATGCCCCATCCCTGGAAACATTCAAGGTCAGGTTGGACGGGGCTCTGAGCAGCCTGATCTAGTTGCAGATGTCCCTGCCTACAGCAGGGGGGTTGGACTAGATGACCTTTAAAGGTCCCTTCCAACCCAAACTATTCTGTGATTCTATGATTCTAATTCATTATTAGTTTTGTATCTATTTTTTCTTAAAAGTGCATTACTTTACATCACTGAAGGCCAAACCACAGTGATTATGTTCTACTGAGGATCTCCCACAAAGGCCAAAGGAGCTATAGTACTCAGTGTAACACAGGCCTTGGCTAACGGCTTGCTGCATATACCACTCTCAAATAAGAGGCAATGTACTGAATTCCTTCTTCAGATAAAATGACTGCAACTGAGAATAATCTGAAAGGGCTCTGGTCCACAGTTATTACATAAAATACTTCATAATCCTATCACCATGTCTCTTGGTAGTTACTTAAAATAAAAACACCCCATTTCCCCCAAAATTATTAACGTGTCATGGGGATGACACCATACAAGAGGACAAAACAAGTATGCAAAGCAAGAGTGACATGGTGACCAGAATCTTTACCTGCAGCAAATACCATAATACTTCAAGGAGCTCTTAGAGAGTCACAGATTTCCAAGGGCAAAGGGGACCTTCTTACAAAGCATTTGTTATTTTTCTCTGAACTCTCCCCAATTTGTCAAAATCTGTTTTAAAACACAGGCAGAAAAACTGGACATATGGCATCATACGAACATTTTACTGGCGATTACTCCATATTTGCTTATAGGTGGATCTTTGACAACACCAGGCTACCAACCATTTATGCCAAGAGTCTCTTTAAAAACATTCCCATTGTATGATAATACCCTATTTACTACAGCTTCTGGATAGCAACCATCCACCATTTCTTAGAAAATGTTATGCAAAGGTAAAATCCCTTACAAAAATCCCACAGACCAATTTGGCAAGATGTGTTTTATTGAAATTATGGAAGATTACCCTGGCAAGATTACTGCATCACTTATCAGGCTTTCCGCTATTTACCTGGAATAACTGTTTTGAGAACTGACTTGTAGTTTTCAAGTAATTACATTTAACCTTTCTAAACACTGGCAAAACAGGACTTGCTTTTAGACCTCTGGAACTTCTCAAATTTTCCAAGAACTAGAACCCAGCTATACTAAACTTTAATGGTTTAGAGCCTGTGGACCAATTTTTTTAAACACTCTTGGGTGAAAATCATCGAGTAGAGCTGATTTAATAATGGTTAGTAGTTGTTGCTTAACACATTCCCTAGTTAGCAGCGCAAAAGAATGTACTTCATCATGTCTACAAGTGGTAAGTACATCATCCTACTTCTTTCTGAAGACAGAAGAGAAGGATCTATCTTCATCTATTTTTTCTGCTCTGTGATCGATAATTACAATTTTCTCATCAGGCTTCAAACCACTGTGAAGATTTTGCTTCTTCCATATAAGAAGTTTTCATCTTTGCCAGGGGCTTTCCACGGATATTTCAGTTTTACTATCAATAGCATACATTTCCTGTCTGTTGATTAGTACTTGCTGCAATCAGTTTTGCCACTGTTTCGTTTGCTTTATGTATTACACTTAAATTATTATCTTTGGCCTAATTTTTTAAAATCAAAGAAGGAATCTACAAAACAAGGGGTTTTTGTTCTTACTTGTAATTGAGCCAGCACCAGCTTCTGTGTTCAGCTCAGTCTGTATCTGAATGCAACACTTAGTAATAGAAAATTATTGTCATTAAATTTTAGAAGTTCCAATTATATTTCAGAAGCAGTTGGGCAAGATCCCCCCTCATGTCCGACTTATGGCCAATATGACAGTATCTGCACTATGCCACTGTATGTGAAGAAGCCCTTAGAAGTCAGATATAACATTTATTTACCTGCAGTGAACAATCACTGGGGCATTCTTCTCTTCTGCACTCTGCATTGCCTCTTCCACTTCCAGTACTAGCTGTAACAGAGGTGGGGCTTGATCTGGTGTCTTCTGGTCTGGCCAAGACGTGTACCAGTAATGTTTCAGGTTTCTGACTTCTTCTCCTTTCTGCAATCCAGGTAAGACAAACACCACAAAGTTTTAAAAGAACTTCTGGTAGTAAATTGATATTGAAACTGGGCCTTCCCTTTAAGAATGGGATCAGAAAATCAACGCTAAAGGGAACAGGAGATCCAAATGGCACACAACACAGAAATCTGGATTTCAAATATCACGTCTGCACTTCAGTAAACTGCCTTAAAAAAAAGAACACACCCCTCCCCCCCAAAGTGTGCTGCTCTTTTATGCCAAGAGCTGTGTGCAAAACACTCCAGGCAGTCTGTTCCCTCTTGACAGATTCATTCAGCAAAGCCAGAGCTGTGCTTGCGACATAATTGCTTTCATAATGTATTTGACAGACAGAGAGCCAGGAGCCATATCTCTGTCTCTGATAGCTAGATAGACAGATGAGGGAGAGAGATGGGAGCTTATTTTTCTATTTCTTCTGACAGACAGACTCCTATCAGTTTCCTGTGAATTCTACTCTTCTCTTAGACATGGTGAGAAATTCAGAGACACTACGGAAGGTGGGAATTGTATCTAGCTGCAGTCCAAGGCTTTTTGAGACACACAAATTCCAATTCTCTCTATGTCTCAGCATAGCTATGAATATAGCAAATGTGCTGTTACCTTTTCTGAGTGCCAAGTAGCATTGCATGCTTCTGATTTTGTGTGTTCAAAGTGACATCTGATTTCTAAAGGTGCCAAATAGTAACATGGAGCTCAGGGAACCTTTCAGCCATTACATAAGCCAGCTAGCACAGGGCTAAGCAAATGTCTACAAAAGGTCCGGGAACAGAAGTGTTAGCTTCCACAACCTTCCCTTAAACACATGGCTGGCTGAGTTTAAGAGGGGAGGAAAAAGAGAACAAATTTGTCTCTTTCTAAAGAACCAGGCACAAAAATATGAAAATAGTTTCTGTCATTTATACTTGTAAGTCCCTATGACTGTCAGTCACTGGATGTTAAAAGTGCTCTGTGATTGTGCCACTTCCCATCCTTCTCTTTGGTTGACAAAGCTTTTGTTGTAAAGCTTCACAGTGAACTAGATTAGGGAAGTGATGTAGTTAAATCTTTGTTCTTTCTCATGCTGGATTAATTTTCAGATGGATTGATCAGTTTCCCCCTTTGGCTTACCACACAGTCACATAAACGCTTGTGTGGGCACATGGGAGATGGCACAAGGGTAGGAACAAGAGACCTGGACAAAGGGAGGCTGGGCTTCATTTAGTTGCTGTTCCAGCTTATACTGGGTTTAAAGTGCTCATTGAAGCACAGCCATAGGAACCTTAAGGGTATGTTTAGCTCAGTTTAAGAAAAGAGAGTCTTACGTAGCAGAGCCTGGCTTTAGGTTATTTACCCTAGTGAGAAGATATTCTGGCTAAGAGAGCATAACTAGTTGTCATGAATAGTACTTGAGCCCACTACAGTAAATCCGATCAAATTTCAACACTGCTCTGAAACATGAACATACACAGTTGCTTTTGAATGTGCAACTATGTGTGAGCCACAGAAGTTATGAACACTGGATTCTTAAGTGGGTTGTGAAAAATTGTAATAAAAATGTTGTCAATAATACTGAGAGAAAAGTAAAAGTCATCTGAAGAAAAACATGAATCACTACATAAAGTCACTCATTTGACAGAAACAGAAAAGAGCCAAAGTTCTAATGATGAACTCTGAATGTCTTTAGTTTTGTCTACGCTGTTACCAGTTTTATGCTTCTGCTTAGAGAACCCTGACTTCTGTGGTTCTGTACACTTCTGAATTGACTTTAACAAAATATTTTCTATTGGTGCTTCCTTGAGACTGAGAAGACTTGGGAACACCTAGGAGGAAGCAAGATTTAATTGATGGTTTGAAGTCTACCATCATGTACACTGTAGCTGAGGCTGAGATCATGAATCAGTGGCTAGACACTGGCAGGTTCCTTTGAGAAAGGAAAACAAGCCTTGCCCTATTGCCTGAGCATTTTCCAAATTCCTAAAGCTTGCCAAATCCAGTCCCCTATTCTGAGAAAGTATGACAGTCCACCCTGTAACACATGCAGTAATCATATATTGCTGGTGGTGGTATCCTACACTTCTGACCACTTCTGTTTAAGGGAAAACAGGAGTCAATTCATGGCTTCTCTAGTTTTCACTACCAAGTCATTTAACATACATATGGTCTGGAGCTGCTGCTCCACTATTGCTATTAAATGACAGATGTACAGCTCTAGGCAATGGTAACCCAACAAATGGAATCTTTATTTCAGCTCTAGACTCAGCAGTTCACCTCCTGACATTTGGGGGTGGGAGGAAAGAGACACTGCCCCTCCTAGTACTGAAAACAAAAGTATTGTTTAACTGAAAAACAAACTGGGATGAGCTTAAAGAAAATAATTACAATGATCAAGTCATTTGAGTAGGGAAGGAACTACGTCCTTGGAGATGTGTATGTCCAATAAAGGCTTTTGTATCATTTGTGATAGGAAAGCACTTGTCTTTCTTGGCTATGATTGGGAAAAATGTATGGTATCTATACTTCTTTCCTTACGACTTTGCTGTACTCTGCTATCCTAGCTATTCTCTTTTTCTTTCTGCTAGTGCCTGAACATACTGGATATGCCAGCCCTGACAAATAATCTGGCTTTCAGTTTGCTGGTTGGTTTTTTTTTTCCCCCCTGTGGGGTCCACAGTTATATATACAGAAAAGATATATTCATATCTGACTCTAAATTCTGAAGTCCTTCTCTAACACAGAGAGCTTCACCTAAGGAAGAGCTGAGCAGGGACAAGAGAATTTGGGAAAACACTGAGAGGTTGCTGTTGGAAGAAAACATTCTGCAGGGATGAGCATTAGCTTGAAAGGTACTTGTGAGATGGGAGTATGGCTTATTACGCTTGAATTGTTGTATATAAGCTCTTCAGGACTGTTTCTTTGTTTTGTGCAACACCTGT